CTTTGACAGCATACGAAGCCGAGTAAGCCGTTGGAACGTGTGGATTCACGACAGGGCACGGAATTAACGCCGTTTATAAGTAGTGGAAAACATTTTAGAAAAGGAAAAACATAGCTGTCAGATATTGCCTTTCAATCAGATACACAACACATTTGTTGAATCGCAAATATCCCCACGAGCACAGAAAGACAGCTTGTACAATGCGGTAAAGACAATGCCAACATTTTTGTGTCGACGCGAATTGGCAACAAATCAACAAGTCATGAGATCAAACTACGATCATTTGCTTCCGAAGAGTTCTTGAAATGTCCACGTGATACGTGCTACACTTACGTGCTAAGTGTCCAAACGACAACACATCACACCATTTACTTCCAAGAGCTAGTGCGAGTCCATCTGATTACCTGACATCGCCAAACATAGCGCTAAACTTGGGCGTTCGTACAGTGGCGCAGGTAGGAGGAGGGCAGCGTGGACATGTGCCACCCTCCCTTAGGCCCAAATCAGCGACCAACAACGATGGGCCCGAGGTGCTTATGGGATATCACATTAATGAGTCCGGCCCGCAGGGCCGAGTCATTAAATGTCAGTCAGAGGGCCCTTTGCGCCGACAGAGAACCCTGAGTCGATAACGGTCTCTACGTCAGTCAGGCACCACCAGTATCGAACAGTCGGCTTCGCGTCGGTCTAGGTTTGAGGACCCATTTCCCAAGCAGTGACCAGGCCGGGGCCAACAATTTACATAGGTCGGGCCGTCTGTGTCAATGACAGGTCCCCTGTGTCGGTTATGGCCCATGGTGCCGAGCACGGTTCTGTGTTGGCAAGAAGACCCGTTTGGTTACGGCAAGCGTTTAAGGCAGCCCGAGGAGGGCCCCTCAGGACTGACGGTCAAGGGCCCAATTGGAAGGCCGAAGGGCCCGAAGGACTGGCTGCAGATCGAATTAAGAACCCCGGCCCCTAGGGCTGCGACCTCAAATGTCAGTCAGAGGGCCTCTTGCACCAATTCAGGACCCCTTAGACAAAATGGTTCCCTATTTCGGCCAGAGACCACCAACACCGAACAGTTGGTTCCGTGTCGGTCTGAACCCTTGGATCCCGTTTACCGCCGCAGTTTGCATTAGTCGGGGTCCCTGAAACAATGAGGGGCCCGTGTGGCGGTCCAGGGCCCACAGCGCCTGATAGGGGATTCTGTCGGTAAGTGACCCCGGGTCAGCAAGAGGCCGTGCTCGAGATCGTGGGCCCCTCGGGACCAAAGATCAAAGCCCCGTTGTAGGTCTGAAGGACCTGAAGGACTGGCCGGAGGTTACATTAAGGACCCTGCCCGCAGAGCCGTGACCTCAAATGTCGCGGTGCCTCTTACACCGATTGGGGACCCCAGGGACAATGCGAACCCCTATTTTGGCCATAGATTATCAACATCGAACACAGGGGCCCCAAAGGCGGTGAAATAAATACATCAATGGCTGCTGTGACGGTCAGGGCTTCCAGTGCCTACAGGTGGTTTTATGTCGGCAAGGTATCCCGACTCTGTAAGAGAAAAGTTGCTGAATAGGGACGGGGACTTCTCGAGCTTGAGGACCTCCTACGGGGACTTCGAATGCCAGGGACTTTTTGCGTTGGCCATGACCCACTGACAATGGAGGGGGAAAGGATAACTTATTACGAGAGTCCAAAATGAGACAATAGGAAGGTCCTGTGACACTCATAACTTCCAAAACCGAGAGAGGTCCCTTGATATAATTTCAGCCAATGGCCCGTTAATCCAAGCTAAAGTTTCCGTGCCAATTTTTGAACCACCTGCGGCGATAACGGGACTTGTGGCGTCGTTAAGGATTTCTGCGTCGATCTGGGAACAGCTGCTCAGGCCAGAGGGCTTAGTGCGTCAGGGAAAGGAGCAATGTGTGATGCATCTCTCTTAGAGCATTTGTATCCACCAGGGGACCCCGCCCCCGTATCGCCAGAATGACAGCCGGAAGGCAACTGGCGCTGGGATGCAATGGCCCCTTTACCCGGCTGGGAGCGATACTGTGCACTAAGTACTGTGCCCGCAGGGGCCCCTTGCCCTGAAAAAGGCAATCGGTGTCATAAATATCCAACAGAGTGACTCGTCATGCAGCCAGAACGGAAGCGGGCCAGCCCAGCCCCGCCTGAGAACATTTGTCGATGTCCTGCCTATCCGCAGCCACACTGATACTGTGCCACGTGAATAGCCAGGCAGCAAAGTATCTGCGGCAAATAGCCACGACAGCCGCTGAATGGCGCATGCGCTTTCCTTCGCCGGTGGTTGTTTGCTCCCCTAGCGGTGATCCTAGGCTGAGTTCAGTTAGCTAAAACGACGTTTTCATGAGGGTTAAAAATAGTGATTTTAAGGCCTCTTCAGATTTTATAGTGCTATGGAAACCAGGTCAACGTGTCTAAGGACAACATGTCAGTGGTATTTGTCATACCTTCACAATGTTTCAGTAGAATTATGATGGCCGATACGTAAGCGTTATCGCTGTGGGCCCTACTCACGGTGTCTTGTGGCCGAAGGCGTCTGGAGGCGGCGTAGACACCATATAGCCGGTGAGGAAGGTCAAGAAGGTGACGTATAAGATCAGGTTGGTGTAGTACAGATACCGAGCCAGCTTGTGCCACTTGAGGTGGAGCAGCGTGATGCACAGCGGGTGGCCCAGGAGCGCCTGTAGCGGCACAGATGCTAAGCTGACTAACAAGCTAACATGCAAGCTGCACTCCAGTCCAGCCCCAAGCAATGAATGCTCCACTCAAACACAGAATGCAACATTCTCTTGCTATGACGTTTGATTTCACGTTTTGTAGGAAAGCTTCTACCATTTGCACACGGTACGGGCTTCGTCAGCTATTTTATTACCAGTGTCAACAGACAGTACGTGAGAATGCCCGGTTCCACGGGCCATCGAGGCTCGTTCTGTAAAACAATACCTCACGCTCTAAAGCTGACTGCTTACAGATGACGTCACTTGCAACTCGTGTGGTGCGGACCATGATCATCAGCGGGTGGTTGTAACTTACCACTCGTTTGGTGCGGACCATGATCATCAGCGGGTGGTTGTTTTTTCGGATGCTAGAGTCGTAAGTGTAAGGCCGGGCGGTGCTTCTGACCCTGTCGTCGTCCGTGTATGACGAGTTGTTAAAGGTCTGGCCCGCTGAAACCCGCATGGCGTGTGAACAGTGCAGAAAATCGTGAACGATACACAGCACGGGCGACATTAGAGCGCAAGCGTAATGTAAGAGCGGTTTGATGGTGGCGCATGAATTTCACGGATCGAGAGGAAGTCAATGACGAGCATAACCCCAACCAGTCAACGATGCTCATTACAGCAAAAGGCAACATCGATGTTCATCTCGAAAGAAACACAGGTTTTGACACGTTCCAAAATGAATCATCGATTTGCCATCGAAAGCTCTACAACGGTCTGAGTGTACCTAGCGAGCTGCAGCCCTGCCATTTGAGCATACCTGAGCTGGAGTCATCTTTGATGGGGATCTCGAGATCCTCATCATGCACCAGGCAGGTGTATGTGTCGTCAATGAACTCGAAATTGAACGTCACGGCCAGATTTCGGTCGCTCAGCTGAGAAGCACAGCACGTTCTTTATCAGTTGCAGGTACGCGGCGCAAATCAGCTTGACGCTGTTCCGACTCATTGAAACGCTCTACGTTCGATGAAATGGCGACGTTTGTAACTATGACCAGTGGCTTACAAATGGCGTAATACAAATGCCCGAAGAGCGTTCCCAACGAAACTATCCACAAAACACAAGAGATGCAACCACGAATGCAAATTAATGACATTAGCAGTATCATTTACTAGCCATCGCCGCCAAACTTTTGGTTGCCAGCAATTATAAACACAATCATCCACTTGACCAAACCACAGGCACCCTGTTGAATATGCCCAGAAACCAAAGAGCCAATCCCTGTTGAATATGTCCAAAGAGACCAAAGAGCCAATCCCTGTTGAACATGTCCAGATACCAAAGAGCCAAGTCCTGTTGAACATGTCCAGACACCAAAGAGCCAAGTCCTGTTGAATATCTGCAGACGCCAAAAAGCCAAGTCCTGTTGAATATGTCCAAAGAGACCAAAGAGCCAATCCCTGTTGAACATGTCCAGATACCAAAGAGCCAAGTCCTGTTGAATACCTCCAGATACAAAAGAGCCAAGTCCTGTTGAATATGTCCAGATACCAAAGAGCCAAGTCCTGTTGAATATGTCCAGAAACCAAAGAGCCAAGTCCTGTTGAATATGGCCAGACACCAAAGAGCCAAGTCTTGTTGAATATGTCCAGAGACCAAAGAGCCAATCCCTGTTGATGATGTCCAGAGACCAAAGAGCCATGCCCTGTTGAATACGTCCAGACACCAAAGAGCCAAGTCCGGTTGATTATGTCCAGACACCAAATAGCCAAGCCCTGTTGAATATGCCCAGAAACCAAAGGTGCCGGTAGTGTAGTGGTTAACGCGTCTGCATTAACCACTGCGCGTCTGGGAAACCAGAGGTACGGGGTTCGATTCCCCACCGTGCCCGCCCTTCCTGCTAGGGTGAGAGGCAGGCGACGCCATATAGCCTTAGCAGTTGAGTGCGTCGTAAAGCCCCAATGACACACACCAAAGAGCCAATCTCCACACAACCAGCGCTTAAGACTATCCGTCCCCTTCCGATCTCGTCGCTCGGACAGTCTCGGCCCTTCGGCGGCGCGTCTCACCTCCAGACCGTTGGTTCTGGTGCACATGTTGAACACCTGCTCGGCCAGGTCGGGGTACTTCTTGATTAGCATGCGGAGGGGTGTGACACGGACCCCGCGCGCCGATATGCTCTCGTTGCTCATCGCGTCCCGCCACTGCTCCGAGTGAAGGATGGCCTCCACGACGTCCCTGTAGGAGAAACGAGCCGTGAGAGGGCACTGGGGCCCGTAGAGCACAGTGTAGTGTGGCTGTCGGGTCCAAGTCGAGCGACTCGGTCAAAAATCATAAACCGGGTGGGCAAGAAAGCCCGCGTGGGGCAGGTAGTGCAAGATCGGTGGTAAATCTCACCCAAGCTAAGCGTGATCTTACGGGCCTGATCGGGCCACGGACTGCCTCTCGCCCGAGACGCACGAGATAGCGTCGCCGTGTGGCAGGCCGACCGTCACATTGGCGGCAGCCACCGCTGACCTCTTGCCGTGCAAGATGGCCAGCTCGAGCGCGTTCTTGCCGCCGCTGTCACAGGCGCTGAGCCGGGCCCCGGCCGCCAGCAGCGTCTCCACCACACTGCGGTGGCCCTCGCGCGCCGCCAGCTGCAGCGGCGTCGTCTTCGACTTGTCCAGGGGGTCCACTGGCGAGTCGTTAGCCAGCAGGATCTGCGGCACGGCAGTAACGTCAGAGTGTACGTAAATGCTTGCTGAATGCTGAACCATTGAATGACGTACGTTCGCTGCATGTTTTCTGACCGCCACGGCCCACTTAGACGATATATTCATTCAAATTTCTACGGAGCATGCGATGGTAATAATTGCACAAAAACACGTTTAGAGGAGATGCCATCTTTTTGCAGTTTCACACATAGATCAGACACGTACAATTAGGATACAAGTTTTCCCAACATCCTTGAAAAAAACTCAGAATTCCGATCTGAAATAGACACTCCAGCACATGCCATTTCCATTGCCAATACATCCCATTGGACCCCGCGCTCACCATTATGAAAGTAATACTTTCCACTCGCTATCCTTTCCCAACATACGCGCTATGTTATGTTCGAGGCACACTAATTGGCCGGCGTGCTTGAGCAATAAGTGGTATGAGAGCTTGGAATACCCGTGTTTAGTCAACAGGACATATAACTTTGAGACTCCCGTCACGGGGATTCAAAAGAAACGTCAAACGTCAAAAGCCAAACTATGACTTCGATTTCTCTCCAATTAGCACAGCGACGCTTTCCGACTCATTTTGGCTTTGGGAAACATTGTTTACGTGGGTGCTGAGTTCGTTGCCAAGTCGTGTTTACACATCAGGCAGCTATATACCAGCGACATATTATATAGTCTAGTGATGCAGTTGTTCAAAACTTCCACCAATGCACCTCTCCCTAAATGGCTCGCGCCACACGCTACGCCAATCACTAACGTCCCTTTCTACTGATGTCGTTCATACCCATAAATGGCGGAGTACATTCTGGCCATCGCGCCTCAGTTGTACCAAGGCGCGGGCTGCTGGTAGCGCAGGTAGTCTTTTCTTGAGCATGTCTACTTTCACAGTAACATGTATATCACACCGTTTCCCCCTTCCTGCTACACTGAAATCGCCGCCCTGCGCTCCTCCCCCCCCCCCCCCCTCCCTTGCTTTGCCCTTCCCAGCCGACGACCTTCCCAGTCCGACCTTGACGGTCATCTTCCACCCGCGTGCAGAGGCGCAATCCAGTGGAGTCCACAGGTGGACGTTGCGCGCCTCCACGGCAGCGCCGGCCTCGATCAGCGCCTCCACCACCAACTGGTGACCCTCCAGCGAGGCCACGTGCAGCGCCGTGTTCTGCTGCTCGTCCTGGTCCGTGATGATAAGCTTGTCGCGCCGCAGCAGCTCCTTCGCCACCCTGTCGGCGTCGGGGCGGGCGGATCAGGGCCACCCTGTCGATATCGGGGCAGGCGGATCAGGGCCACCCTGTCGGCATCGGGGCAGGCGGATCAGGGCCACCCTGTCGGCACCGGGGCGGGCGGATCAGAGACACCCTGTCGGCATCGGCGCGGGCGGATCAGGGCCACCCTGTCGGCATCGGGGCGGGCGGATCAGAGACACCCTGTCGGCATCGGCGCGGGCGGATCAGGGCCACCCTGTCGGCATCGGGGCAGGCGGATCAGAGCTACCCTGTCGGCACCAGAGCATACGGATCAGAGCCACTCTGTAGGCATCGGGGCAGGCGGGTCAGGGCCACTTTGTCGGCATCGGGGCAGGCGGATCAGGGCCACCCTGTCGGCACCGGGGCAGGCGGATCAGGGCCACCCTGTCGGCATCGGGATAGGCGGATCAGAGCTACCCTGTCTGCATCGGGGCAGGCAGTTCAGAGGGGCAAGTCGTGGCGGGGCTACGAGCAGCCGGTCAGGAGGCAGCAGGAGGGCAGGCGCTGTGCTACGAGAAGCAACCCTGTTGTTACTACAAAACAACAAAATAACAAACAACTAAAGGTGAGCTACGATAAGCAGCCAGTCCGGGCACCTGTCAATGAAGCCTAATCGCCTAACTGAAGCGAGTGCCAGCAATAGCAACGGCCAGCGAGCCTTTTTTCTGTTGCCCGCCGGCAAGTGTTGTTATGACTCACGTGGTCCGGCCGTACTTGGCCGCCACGTGCAGCGGCGTCTGCTCGTCCTCGTTTTTGTTGTCAATCGAGGCGCCGGCGTCGAGCAGGGCGCGCGCCACGGCCAAGTAGCCGTTTTTGCAGGCCATGTGCAGTGGCGAGTTGTCGTACTTGTCACTGCGGTCCACCAGGCCGAGCGCCAGCTCGTGATTCAGGAGCACCTGCCGTGCAGTACTGCGTGATGAGCAGATTTGTACAGCGACAGAAGGGCGAACGGGGGAAAGTACGGCGGAGTAAGATATATTTAAATCCGCATGAAATGGAATGCAATGCTTGGACGCCTCCGTGCACACTTCCGAATTTGTCCTAAATTATCCATAAAGATCACATAGACGACGCAACGTGTTATCAGTCAAAACATGTATGTGCCGTTCCTCTGAGTGCCGCCGCGTGACAGCAAGTGGCCACAGGTGATCGCGGCCCACCGGTGGCCGGCCGGCCGGCCGGGGTCCCTCCTAGCTGACCTCCAGGGCGCCGATGTTGTTCTCCTGGGCGCACCAACTAATGGCCGTCATGTCGTGCTTGTCGACGGCGGCGATGTCAGCGCCGTTCTCCAGCAGGGTGTGCACGGCACGCGCGTGGCCCGCCGCCGCCGCCAGCAGCAACGGAGTGAAGTTATCCGCGTCCAGCCGCTCGATGCTGGCCCGCCTACCGGCACGGCAGCGCCCGTCATCGGCCAGGGCACGCGGCCAAGGCTCAGTGCTGATGCAGGTGGCTGTGAACGCTGTTTGGACCGATACAGCGATAGCATACCTCTGCGTTTACCCCATACCTATGAAAGCCCGACTCAATCGATCGCATGCTGATGTCTGTGAGATCGTCTCGCAGTCGTGGAGCAGTGCCTTGTCGTGATATATCAGCCCAGCCGTCGGAGGAGCGATCTGTGGGATCGTCTCGCAGTCGTGGAGCAGTCTCTTGCCGTGATATATCAGCCCAGCCGCCGGAGGAGCGATCTGTGGGATCGTCTCGCGGTCGTGGAGCAGTCCCTTGCCGTGACATATCAGCCCAGCCGCCGGAGGAGCGATCTGTGGGATCGTCTCGCAGTCGTGGAGCAGTGCCCTGCCGTGATATATCAGCCCAGCCGTCGGAGGAGCGATCTATGAGATCGTCTCGCAGTCGTGAAGCAGTCCCTTGCCGTGATATATCAGCCCAGCCGTCGGAGGAGCGATGCCGGACCCAGTCCACCACCCACCTGCTCAGCAGGTACGCGATGATGTCGATGTGGTTGAACATAGCCGCTCGGTGCAGCGGTGTCTGGCCCTGGTAGTTCTGAACGTTGATGGCCGCATGGTGCTGAAATGTGGTTAAATATCTTTCGTTGGACGTTCTATGGTCGGCGATTGAAAACCGCGCACCACGCATGCTCACATTTTGCAACGGCGCACATTTACGAAATGCCTTATAACCAATGAATGTCTCCATCCAAACGTTGTTTTCATCCCCAAACGCAGGAAAATATCACACCCAGCAGAATCTGAGGTCTACAGGGTTCTTTCCCACGCCCTCCCATACCCAGCCTTGCCGACCGCCCTAGGTCCAACCGCCCAGATATATTTGTTGTTGCTAATTAGGGTTTTTGGGCGTGCCGACTGCATAGGTCATATTGCGCACATAACGTTGTCATTTAGTTACGAGGTGAATATATGGAGCGAAATCCTATTTTTGCAAGGAATGAAAACAGCCGGCCATCTTCAAGAAGTTGCGAGTGATTACCAAGAATGTCACTTAGCGTAAGGGAGTTGGCATTTCGCCCAAAGTAAAGCAACCGCTCCCGGGCGAAATGTGAACATAGTTTAACTACGTGGTCTACCGTCAGAAAAGCAGGGCAACAAAGGCATCGGGGTCTCTCACCATCACACGACAAATACCGGTGGGTTTCGTAAACATGGCAAATACGCAGTCTGAAGCACAACTTCTTCCTGCCTCGAATCGCGGAAGCTGGAAGACCACTGGCCCAATTCGGGTTTTATCCGCTTCAATTTGCATTTGCGTTATTATTCCAAGAGAGCTGCCACTTGTGTGGCAAGATATCTCAACATGTCGGAAATCGTCCACCGTACCCGAACCAGCAGCTGCACGATATCCAGCTGGCCGCCGACCACGGCTGCGTGAAGCGGCGTGTCGCCCGTGTCGTTGCAAACGTTGACGTCGGCCTCGGCGTCCAAGAGCAGCTCGACGGTGGCCTGGCTGCCGCTATCGACGGCCAGGTGCAGGGCCGTGTTCAGCCGCTGGTCCTTGTCGGCCACCATCTGCAACGCAGTACGATTGGCTCAGAGGGAACGCGAAGGTATTGCTCATGCCAGAGTACGCCAGGTCAGAGGGTACACCAGGATATCTTACGGGGCAGGAGTGGTCTGAGGGCACACCCGGATGTCTACCGTGGCAGGAGTGGTTTGAGGGCACACCAGGATGTCTTCCGGGGCAGGAGTGGTCAGAGGGTACACCAGGATATCTTTCGGGGCGGGAGTGGTTTGGGGGCACACCAGGATGTCTTCCGGGGCAGGAGTGGTCAGGGGGTACACCAGGATATCTTACGAGGCAGGAGTGGTTTGAGGGCACACCAGGATATCTTCCGGGGCAGGAGTGGTCAGAGGGTACACCAGGATATCTTACCAGGCAGGAGTGGTTTGAGAGCACACCAGGATGTCTTTCGGGCCAGGGGCCGTGACAGAGAACTCGGGTCGGCATGGTGTGGTTCAGTGTGGGCAATTGACTTCAAGGAGTCTCACTAAACGCGGTAGCACTATAGGTCCTTTGTGGGGGGGGGGGGGGGGACCAAGAGAGCAAGAAGTCTAGTACACATCAATACGTCAGATCGTCTTTTTCGGCCCGGCCCACCCCACGACTCTCACCACTTTGACAGTTTCGTGTCCTGTGAGTTCGTCGGCCTCACCAGTTTGACAGTCTCGTGTCCTGTGAGTTCGCCGGCCTCACCAGTTTGACAGTCTCGTGTCCTGCGAGTTCGCCGGCCTCACCAGTTTGACAGTCTCGTGTCCTACGAGCTCGCCGGCCTCACCAGTTTGACAGTCTCGTGTCCTGCGAGTTCGCTGGCGGAACGCAGTAGCATGTCGACGATGTGCTGATGTCCTCCCTTAGCCGCGCTGTGCAGTGGCGTCTGCTGTTCCTCATCCACGCAGCGCAGCGGCACGAACATCTCCAGCAGCAGGCTGGTCACCGTTGGATAGCCGTAGGTGGCCGCCATGTGCAGCGGCGTCATCTGCTGCTTGTCCTTGGCCTGCCGGTCCAACGGTCTTTCAGTAAGGCCCGTCGCCGTAGTCTTAAAGTCTACCCGACAATTATCTTGAGAGGAAGAAGTCCACAGAAACATTCAATTACCTGATGCGCGGTGGGAATGAGAGGTCAACCCAGCCATGTTTCGCACGAGCGACCATCACTTTTATTCAGAGCTGAACGTTTGGCATGATATAAAAAACAATGTTACAGACGCACGGTATTCGATTTCTACAAAAACAAACGTTGATCGACGTCCCAATGCGTCATACCATATCTCGATCTGTAAATCAATGTCGAAATCGATCTCTAAATCAGTTTCTGAATCGATCGCTTTATCAATCTCTAAATCGATCGCTAAATCAATATCTAAGTCAATCTCCATCTTGATTTCTATGTCAGTTATGAAATCAATCTCAAAACAAACTTCTAAATCAATCTCTATCTTGATCCCTATGTCGTTTTCTTTTTTCTCCCTAGCACTGTTTTTTCGGTCTCGGTCTCGGTCTCGGTCCCGGTCCCGGTCCCGGTCCCGGTCCCGGTCCCGGTCCCGGTCTCGGTCTCGGTCTCGGTCTCGGTCTCGGTCTCGGTCTCGGTCTCGGTCTCGGTCTCGGTCTCGGTCTCGGTCTCGGTCTCGGTCTCGGTCTCGGTCTCGGTCTCGGTCTCGGTCTCGGTCTCGGTCTCGGTCTCGGTCTCGGTCTCGGTCTCGGTCTCGGTCTCGGTCTCGGTCTCGGTCTCGGTCTCGGTCTCGGTCTCGGTCTCGGTCTCGGTCTCGGTCTCGGTCTCGGTCTCGGTCTCGGTCTCGGTCTCGGTCTCGGTCTCGGTCTCGGTCTCGGTCTCGGTCTCGGTCTCGGTCTCGGTCTCGGTCTCGGTCTCGGTCTCGGTCTCGGTCTCGGTCTCGGTCTCGGTCTCGGTCTCGGTCTCGGTCTCGGTCTCGGTCTCGGTCTCGGTCTCGGTCTCGGTCTCGGTCTCGGTCTCGGTCTCGGTCTCGGTCTCGTCTCGGTCTCGGTCTCGGTCTCGGTCTCGGTCTCGGTCTCGGTCTCGGTCTCGGTCTCTCTCGGTCTCTCTCTCTCTCTCTCTCTCTCTCTCTCTCTCTCTCTCTCTCTCTCTCTCTCTCTCTCTCTCTCTCTCTCTCTCTCTCTCTCTCTCTCTCTCTCTCTCTCTCTCTCTCTCTACCCGCCGACCCACCTCTGCGTTGACATTGGGACACTTGAGTAGCTGCTGGGCGGCCAGGTCGTTACCGCGCATGGCGGCGTAGTGGAGTGACGTCAGCCCGTACATATCCTTGGCATTGACGTCAGCACCATTCGCCACTAACACCTGGATCACGGTCTCCTCCTGTTCCTCCGGCGAGGGCGGCGTCACCTGCGTCTCCTCTTCATCCTCCTTTTCCTCTGGTTGTGGAGGCGTTTGGAGAAGGCGCCGATACCTGGCCGTGTCGAGGGAGGGTGAGACAGTTGACGTCACCAGAAAAAGAAAAGATGGACAGGCCTCTTGGGCTCCTCGGTTTCAAAGCACTTTTGGCAGGAACATCAATAAATTATCTGGATATCATTCAGTATTGGTTTACCATTGCTGCATTGTTGGTGCCGCAACTGCACTGTCGTGGCCGCAATTGCAGTGCTATTCAACACAGTGGAAAACTTTCGTCCAGGGCGAATTTCAAGTTGGAGCCCATGTTATTCGCTCACATAATGGAGAAAGGATCATTATTATGCACCGCAACAGGATTGAGTGTCCAAATCGCGTGCGAACGGTCACAAAGGAAAGCATAGATCACGGATAGGGAGGATGGTGAGTCATGTCACCGTGCCTTTGGCTGTATTCACGAAGAATTGATTTCACTATACACTGTGGACAAATAGCGAGTGACTGCTCTGGCTGTAGGTCAAGGTAAGGTCTGGCCAGCTAGATATCACGCAGAATTCTCCAGCTGCTCGCCGCCGTCCATCAGCAATGAGCCCGAAACTTTCGCTGGCAGTGATGACAGCGCTGATGTAAAAATAATTATGCCACGGCTCGACGAACATCAAGTATCACATCTCCCAAAAATCTAGCAGGGAACTAACCGCCAACCGCCTCCATCGATTTTCCAGATCTTCCCCCCCCCCTGCCACGTCATGTATTTTCCGTGCAGGTGCCACTACGCTGCAGCGACGAGCGGCACATAATCAATACCGGGCTGCCGTCCAGCGTGCCCTCCCGCCGACGCCGTCTGCAGCGGGCGCCGTGACTTGCCTGGCGGCCAGGTGGAGCGGCGTCAGGCCATCCTCGCCGCGGATGTTGACACGCGCGCCGTACTTGATGAGCAGCCGCACCGTGTCGAGCCGGTTGTAGCGGGCGGCGTAGTGCAGCGGCGACAGCCGCTCGGCGTCCAGCTGGTTGAGCCGGCGCTGCAGCCGCTCGTTGTGACTGAGCAGCGAGTCGAGCAGGCGGCGCATCATCTCCGAATCGCCCTCGCGCGCCACCTGATCGACAGCAATGTGTTCCGGTTTTGTGTTGGCCCGTGCACCTATCAGGCCAGTTCCAGCCTGTATGGGGTTTTGTCCTTCCATTCAGGCCTTAGACGTGGTGATGCTTGTTAAAAACCTTCACAATCACTGACCTGATGAAGTCCCTTGCTGAGGTCCAGGTGGGAGCTTCGGAACGGATCGTAGATGTCCAGCACCGCCTGTTCCAAGCCGTTGACGATGCTGCAGCTCCTGGAACCGGCGGGGCGTGATAAGCCAATGACGACAGACCAGCGACCAGCGACGGCGGACGGACATCCTCAGACAGAAGATCTCAAGAGTCAGAGGGCAAGCCGTACAGCGGGTGCGAAGCGAAAGCACGTCATCGACATAAGAAGGGGTTGGAACATATGGAAACAGCAAGCACCTCGCGGAAAGATGGCGAGCAGACACAGACTGGCCACCACTAACTTGTTTCGGTGTATAGAACACGACACGTGCCGAAAAGTAACAGATGAGGAGCACTGATACTATCCCCGAACTCATGTAAGACGTTCAGTATTGATATCTTAGAGGCTCTAGGGCTAGACATGCGTAGAGAGAAAGAACTACCACATAGTACGCATGCATCCATAGTCGCATAGTACGCATGCATAGTGTATATTACGCATATTACAGTACATAGCAGCTGCAATGGCCACGCTACCCGAATCCATGACTATCATAAAAGAAACGAGGTCATTGACGGTTCAATCATCCAAACCAAATCATTCGCTGTGTTGGATCCACATCGCATTCGCATTGCATATGCTGGATCGAAATGTTTGTTTGCTTTCTCCTGCCTCTGATCGGAAAACCAAAGAAAACCGCTACTTAAACACCATCACAAGAACTGCATATTATCATGAAACGGGTTAGAGCAAATTTCGACAGTTTCGTCAGTGATTGTAGTCTAGACAAGTTGAGGCTATGAAACGCCTTAAAATGCGTTGCAACAAAATCAAGTTTTATAACCATGTAAGGCAATAAAATACTTCTCAGAAGTTGCAGAAATAGGGCTGTAAATTTTGCTAGTGTCTTAAGTACCTTTATGGCAAGACCGCCACTGTTCAAAAGTGGTATTCATCTAACCTGCAGCACCTAACGACCCCAAAATCCGCTGCGGGATCTGCAGCCTTCCAGCTGCCGCGGACTACACGCACCACTTTTGATCTCTGCTCACCCGTGTTTTGCGGGCATGGTCCGAACAGCTGACAGCTGCAATCAATCCGAAACAACTGACAATCTGCGGCGGATTCTTAAGCCAATCCGCAAAGTGTGGACTTTGATGGCTTTGCTTGATTATCATCACTGGTAATTGTGATTGCTTGTGATATGGGCATGCTCTCACCAGTGACTGGGAAGCTGTTACCTCGAAATCATTAATCCATCGCACTGTGCTCAACTCCCAGCGATGCCCAATACGCTATTTCTTGTTGTGAGTAGAAAATAGTGCATTTTTGATGGTGTCGTGCTTGTGCAGTGTGGTTGTTATGTGCTCAGTTGGATTAACAGGACCACTTTACAATAATTAGACATTTTAGTCGTCTTTTAGGACGAATTTTGAACGATCTGTCGATCACGGATCTCGCTAACAGCGTCAAAACGTAAAAATTTAAAACGGAGACAAGAAGCCAACCAGTGTCGACAGCGCATACGCCGTTCTTTCATGTATACATGCATATACTTTTTCAGAACACACGTGACAGTGATCCACATCGCCCAGGCTTCGACCCAAAAGTACAGAACATATAATAAATTACAGGACATGACGTATACTAGGTTTGCACAGACAAAAACTGCATGATTACTCAAGATGAATTGTTTGTATTAAGCAGCGGTTTCATTTAGCGTATATGAAATTAATCACATATTTGTGATAAGCGTGGCCTATGTTTTCATTTCTTTGCAATCTTTGAACACCCGAAGGATTTTTTTTCTCGCCGAATATCAGAGTTCTGGAGTGCAGAAGGAAAGTGATCGCCCGTGGGAGTAGCAGCAGTTTTTTGCTTCTAAGTCATTGTCGCCAGTCCGTTCCCAAATGTATGTTTTCAAGTCAACAGCATACAATACGCCTTTACCTCGTCTGTTCAGGGGCCGTAGGGCCACCTATTCCACTGACGTCATCAACTCCTGTCCAATCAGACGGCTCCTGCGCGCCTCGTGGCGCAGCCCCCAAGCCGACGTAACGTGCCAACGATGACGTTAGGGATAGCGTGGTTTAGCAGCCAAACCGCCGGATGACCTTTCATGGTATACACTGCCTTGCCTTTGTCCCTGCCCTCACAAATGAAACGCGTTATACTGTACACTACACCGGACATCAGACATTCGTATATGAAGCCCGACATGCATGCATTACACATTCGTTTACCAGATAGGCATAAACGTTGTGGAAAGGCCCGTCGAACAAGGTGGTTTTTCACAAGTTGTGAAAAGGTCGACCAAACAAGATGGCTTTTTCGTAGTGTTGTGGTTTTGCCATGATATCCGAACATTAAGATCACACTTTCTACAACTGATTTTATTTTTGCTCATAAATCTTCATCTACGCAGGGCTCAGTAAGGTAGCCGTCTAGGTTTGACATATGTAAGTTCAGTTTGTTCCGCTGCTCCCGCTGGGGAAGTTGATGCCCATCTCGTTGGGGTTGTGTTCGCTGATATCATTGTTGATATTTTCACTGACGCCGATCTTTCTGCTCGACAAGCACCGCAAGAGCATCTCCATGTTTTGGCAAGAACGTCAGCATCAGCGAGAATATCAGCAACGACATCAGCGAAAGCATCACCAATTTCACCAGTGGGAGCAGCTGAGCAGAAATGAATTAAAGCTGCCACATATGATCGGCTACTTCACTCTATCCGATGTAGATACGGCTTTGTGCGTGAAGATAAAATAAGTTACTAAAAATATAATCGTGTTACTCGGATAGTACGGAAAAAGACGCGATACTTCGCAAACAATCTGGTTCCTTAGGCTTTTTGGCAACCTGCATGTTAATCTGGCAAGCGAATTTATAATGCAGCCATGCAAGGTTTGAAATGCAAATGTCTGACGTCTCGCGTAGTGCATTGTATAACGAGTTTGGTATGCGAGAATAGGGATGGAAGGTTATCGTACGTTGGCGAAAAAAAAATATTCGGACCAGTACTAACGGCCATGTTCTAGACACAAAACTACAAAGCTCCCGGGACTAACATAGGCGATCATTTTCTTTCTGCACGCCGGGACTATGACATTCGTGGGACGAGAACCCGTTGGCTAAGAATGACAACTCAAAGACCACGCCCATCGCAAAACATGGCAGTTCGCCCATCCATGCAATCTGAGCTCCTTGCTAAGTATAAAAGTTAATGTATTTGATCTACTGTGGTTTCTTATATGTGTTGGTTCAAAGTGATGGTGGGCAATGTGTGTCATTTCATCAGCAAGAAAACAAATTTATATACAGTGTCAGCACTGACTGGCACCTGATGTCTATTTGGAATCTTTACATCTAGGTGCCATAAACATGGCCCATAGGCGAAGATTAATTCGAAATGCAGTTCACTTCTACTAAACGCATGCAATTTTTGTAAGAAGGACATCTTAATTTAGTTGAGCATCCTATTAAAGAACCATGTTAACTTTTGGGACGCCCCACGTAAATCACGCCGTCGCTGCTCATAACAGGCAACGCTGAGTCGTGCTAGTCAAAACCTTGAACACCAGCCAATGTGTTTACGAAAACGAACTTCAACACGCGCTCGGGTGGTCGATTATCACCCGCACGCGCATGCGCACGCGCACGCGCACGCACACACGCACACGCACACACACACACACACACACACACACACACACACACACACACACACACACACACACACACACACACACACACACACACACACACACACACACACACACACACACACACACACACACACACACACACACACACACACACGTGTTCTTAGAAAACCTTCAAAACGATCACGCGTAGCAGCGCCAAACTTTGCAAAGTTGTTGGCAATTGAATAGCCTATCTTTGGGAACGACAAAAATTGGAAGAATATTATAAAGTCAATGACCAATGGCAGGTCAAACTATGCCACGGCTGTTAGCGAAGGGGATTCCGAGGGAACCGTTTAATCTGATACAACAAGAGTGTTGAGTGTTAAACGAATAAATTATTGACATGGTTTCTTTAGACTTGTGCCAACCTTTGCAAAGTTGTCCGAAATTGAATACCCAATCTTTTCGCATGAAAGAAATCGGATTATGCTGTTAAGTCACTGACCCATGGCGGGTCAAAGCCAGGCCGTGGCTGTCAGCGAAGGTGATCTCGATGGAACCGTGCAATTTGATGCAACAAGTGTGTTCAGCAAAGCCATGAATCATTGAGATGGTTTCTTAGACGATGAGACAATGGACTTCCGGATTGTCATTACCTCCATCGACCTTAAAGAGGTATGGCGGCCAGACCGAGGCAAAACAAAACTGCTGTTTTACTTGAGAACTCGCCACAAGAGGCAGTTTCTGACACTTATTTCGAATATTTGGATCGCATGTACATCAACAAACATCTTACTTGAACGTCGTAAAGGCGAGGGAACGTTACCCACCTGAAATGACCTTGGTCACTATTTTGTTTTTATGAACGTACCGCTCAGCGTCATCATTGCCGCTTATTCAAAGTAAAAAATCAAAACATCTCATAGGTTTTCAGTCATCGTGATCATTTGAAAGTCAATAAGGTCACTGACTTCAAATGACAAACAGTTAACTCTTGTTTAGAAACATCTATCTAAAATGTCATTGCATAACGATGCCTCAGAGTACTACGGACAACTTTTCAAAGTTTGACCTTGTTTGACCGTATTTGACCTAAAGGACAACATCCGGATGCCTAAAGATGTGATAAAAGTGAGCTCACGTACGGGCCTACCTACCCTGTGATTTGGGTGTGGCCACCTCCCTTATTTTGAGATCGCAGCGGGTTTAATTGGCACCTCTCAGCCGGGCGAGACGGCATTAAACCAGCCAACCGGGAGCGTGACGACATCCGAGGGAACAGCACAGACTTAACGCGGGCGCTGAGTAATTGAGCGACTTGTGGCACCCTATAACTGAAACCTAATAACAAAGAGACTATGCCACCTTTGGAAATATTGGGGCAAGCGTCAGATAAACCGAAAAAGGCCCACTTGTAGGTATTTGCATGATTTGATGCACAAAAGACTAGAATGGATGACAAAATACAGCTAATTAGTATGCATCGTCCTAATGACGTCATCGTTTGATGACGTCTCGGAACGTTATTACGTAACAGATGCTGTCAGAGTGGCTGCGACACAGTTCTCGCTGTAGCGGACGACATGACTCGCTCGTGGCATTTCTAACACGTCGCAAGACGGCGTTGTTGATGCATATGTGTGAATTCAACGGACGAATGTGTCTGCGTGTGTTTTGGCCATTTTTCGCTGTGTTCTGGCATATTTATTCCTGAACAGTTTTCCATGATGACGTTTTCGTTCCTTGAATTTGGATTTCCGGTTATGGCGCAATTTTCGAGGCATCCTATAAGAAGCCTGATGTCCGTGACATCTAGGAGCTGCCAAGTGATTCAGAGGCCATAATTTGCTTGGCGATGAGCACAAAACGGCCATAAGGTGATGCTCGCGTGACGTCACTATGACATCACACACATCTGTGTGTCTTTCCCATAGGTGGCGCGTCCTAAGCTTCAGAACTGCACGTTCATCAAGCTCAAAATACCAGGGTTTTAAGTTTCCAAGTAAGCATGGCTGTGAACTGCAAGACATGATCAAGGGAACGTCCAACTCAGTTCAAATTCAAAATAAATTACATCCTGCACTAAAACCTGACTGCTCCCAGCTGATGGATGCCAAGAACCGTTCAGCCAGTGCACGAGAACAACCTTTGCGGCGCGCTGTCCTGTCGGGTTAGCAGGTCGGCGATGTACTGCAGGACACCGCAATCGGTTGGTCTCCGCTCGCCGCCGCCACTGTCCAGCGAGAGGCCGCGTCCCATCAGCGGCGTGCGCCGGCCCTCGTCCAGCGAGTGGGAGCGTGCCGGGTGGCGAGCGGCTGGCCTCAGGTCAGGGCGCGCCCCCTGGACACCCTCCGAGCGCCGCCTGCGGCTCCACATGACGACGACCGGTCAACAGGGCTCGGCCTCGTCCCTGATCTGGTGCACAGTGCTAGGGACGGCGCCCGACCGCCGTACCCCACTGCAGCTGTCAGCTGAGTCCTGACTCATCCCTACTGCGGTCGTCAGCTGGGTCCTGACCCATCCCTACTGCGGTGGTCAGCTGGGTCCTGACTCAGAGTGCAGTGCGAGCCGTTTCCCCGCCCGCTGCCACGGAAGTGTGTCGTCACTTCCACACCTGACGCAACGTTCGCTGGAACCGCCCGTCAGCGTGAACCGCGGGGTGCCGGGCGGTGCATGCTCGATTCTCCGTGATCAGTTTGTCTCTCGAGAGGACATCGCACACTACGCCTTCAGTCTGTGTCAGCTTGTCGTTGCGGTCCAGTGGAACAGCACACTACGCCCCGTACCCTCCCTGTGGCATACTGTTCTTCCTTGGTGACCGTATCAGTTTGATGTGATGGAGAATGACGTTGCGATAACATATCAGATGTGTGGCGGGACGGGCGGTTTCCAGTCCGAGTTATCAGGCGCTGTGCTATCAGCGATGGTTCGTGTTTCATTGGAAAACGGGTATGCTTTTCCAGGCACGCTGACCGTTGAGGTGACCTGGTGCCATCTCGAAAAGTGCTCAAGGGCGTAGGATTTCGAAAAGATTTGTAGCGGCTACATTTCTTTTGATCGCGAGAGAGAGAGGGGGGAGAATGGGCAGGTAACCATTCCAGAAAATCAGGCATAATATGCAAAGCATCACAAAAGTGCTACCAAAAACACTGCAAGCAGTGCGTGAGGCATGCAGAGCAGTACCAGAATAAGCCAGTCGCTCGAGAAAAAAACAAGCTAAATCAAAGCACAAGTTAAACAAAGACGCTGCAGTCAGTTCGCCGGTGGCAAACTTCGTTAACATAACATCGAAACCCTTTTACGACATCATTTAAAGGGACAGTGCTACCAACAACTCTGTACAATAATACTTTTAACACAGAGCTCAAAGCCTTGAATGTCAAAAAGGTCATTCGAACTTCCTTTTAACTGCTCCGTGGGGTACATACCGCAGAATACGTGCGAGCGCCGGCTCACCAGCCGCGCCTCCGTGGGCCTCATGCGCCTCGCCACGCCTCACCTGCTCGACCTTGCCTTGTTGAGCTCATCCTGCGTCATGTCAGTGTTGCTCTCATAAGGCAGCTCCGGCTCCAGCTGGTCGTCCATCTTGTCGCCCAGCAGGTCAGCGGCGACCTCCCCGGTCGCGCTGTCGCTCCCTCCGAAGTCATCGCCCACTGCGGGCGGCCGCCGAGATGTCGCTGGGGTCCACACGGCCGAGGGCACCCGACAGCACGCGCGGCTATCGCGCAGCCTTGGACGTGATTGGCTTCGGCCATAGGTCGGCCGCAGACGATCTCAGGAGTTGTCAAAGTTCCGTTCAAACAGTATCAAGTGGTGCGTATTAGTTAGGACGCAGAAATTACAGGCCATGCTCCACATTTGAAGACACTAAAGCAAACACGAGATATGACAGAATCAACACGCTTGTAACTATTGGTATACTTCAAAGCGGAAGACTTCTCCAGACAGTGAAGTTTCTCTTTTCAGTAAATTTGTTCCTTAATACGTCATTGTTCAACCGCGTTATCGAAATTTTGTGTGACGTTGACGTCCTTCCAAACTAGCCGCGCGAAATTGTCACCCTAGTGCCCACTTGCATTACTTCAATGTCCCAATAGTTGGCAGTTATGTCCTGGTGTGCTCGCCTTACCTTGTGGTGTTTTTGCACATTAACCGGTATGTGAATACAACTAAACACCTTAAACTCGCGGTTGAATGTAGTGCTGTCCGAAGGTCACTCGATTACTACTCTGATTTCCATAAGAACTTGCCAATATGGTCAACATCTCATATTATGTATCACATAACGTGCTTGTGATTGAAACTTGCAAGCCTGTGAGCCATTGATTGGGAGCGAATTGAAGTCCATAAGATCCAGAGCTTTTTTCTCAAGAACGCCCGATATCAACGATTCAACGGTTGTATTCTTCTTAGCCTAGAACGTCGCATGGTCAATTGGGCGGTAGAATTTGAATGGCGTTTTCATGACGTCATGCATGCTTGGATGATCTTGAAATAGTCGGCACATCTTCGCTGGTGTGCAGCTTAGAAACTGCAGAGTTATAGGGCTTAAGATCAGGACTGGGAACTGCACCGAACGATTTTCAAAAGAGTTATTTCAGTCCAAAGCGAGACACAAATAAGAAACGCTGCCTCATGCTGCGTAACAAGGAAACCAGACGTAGTTTCCATTCCCTGCGGAACCCATCCTCCCTGCTAGGGTGAGAAGTATGCGATGTCACATAGTCTCATGGTCTTAGTGCGTTGTTAAGTCCTAATAACAACGGCAAGCGATTCGCATACGCAAGTGGTAGCATCGACAAAGCGGACTCTGACCTTCAATATTCATTCACTCCTAGCACTGTGACTTAAGATAAAGTTCGTGTCCATGGCTCCGTTGGTTGGAGCGCCTGTTTTTCGATCCACCCACCTGTGGTGGGGTGGGTTTAAGTCGCTTAAAGGGAGGTCTCACCTTCAGCCTTTCTCTCAAAAATATGCTTAGGTGAAACCTCAGGACTAGTTACGCTTCATAATAGCAATGGATAGTGCAACTGCAGCACCCTCAATATATGATAGTAAAATATATATTAAGTATGCTCGAGTCCAAATTACGTTGTCAACATTTTGAAGCATCACTACATTTTTTTTTCTTTCTTGGTAATCCTAAAGAACATTCAGAATCAGCGCTAGCTGCAGTCGCCGCGACCGCCATCGTCATAACAACCGCCGTCGTCATGACGACAGCAGAACCTGCTAAGGGCCGTTCCCAGCTATTACGTGTTACATAATGGATGTGCCACGTTTAAGCTGCTTTAACCCGCACATTGCGGGCATGCGTGCTTCAAAGTGGCACCTCTCCTGGCATCAATGACGTCAGCACAAATGGAAGTTTGTTTTTGGGACAGCGGACGGCAAGGGCCGGCTTCCGCGAAGAGCATGGGATGACGTTTGAACCACTGCGTCACTAAAGACCATGTGATATTCCGTTTCCTGCAGCCAAAGTACGCTTCGAAGAGGGCCATGGTGTTCCGCGCCATAGGACAGAAATCAAAGCTATGACCTAACGTTTCGCTTGAATTCGTGGGATAATAGCTCCATTCTTCGCGCATTTTCGCTAAAAACGCTGCTTCAAGCTTTCTTAGCATCTATTACACAAGCATTTTGACAAATTAGTGTACTGCAAACATAACAGGATGCACACGCTGGAAAAAATAAAAAAATAAATGCATTACTTTCACGGCGGTGAGCGGGAAGTCCATGGAAGTGACGTCACCTGGCCTGGGACGCAGCCGCTGCCACCGATCGCTGACCATCCAAATCAGATAAAAATAGCGGGTGCCATAAGCGACTCGAACCCACCCCGCCACGGGTAGGTGGCTCGGCGGGCAGGCGCTGTAACCAACTGAGCTATCAGAACTTTTACATTCAAGGGAATGTTCTACATTTGAAGATATTGAAGCAAGCGACAGATATTATGAAATCAGCTCACTTATAACTATTGGTGTACATCTACATGAAAAAGACTGCTATAGACAAGACAATTTCTCTGTTGAGTTAATATGCTTCTCAATACGCCATTGTGTAATCACGTCATCGTGTCACTGCAAAACATTGACTGAAGCCAATTGACAGCCGTTATATCTGGACATCATGCTCAAGAACACCAGGTATGAGCGACTCGATAATTCTGTTTTCTTGACCTTCATCACCGCACGACTAATGAAATGGCAGGATTTGAGTGATGTTATTTTGACGCCATGAATGCCTGGGTGAACCTGAAATAATCTCTCCGAAGTAGTCTGCACACCTTCGCGGGCATGTAGCTCAGAACAACAGGGGTTTAGCAGCGTGTAGCTCAGAAAATAAAGGGGGGTTTAGGTCTTGCTAGACAGGGCTGAAAACTGCACCGAATAATCTTCAAGATAACTTTTTCAGTTTAAAGAAACATAAAATGTGGACCACTCTCTTCAAGGACTGAAGAGCCGCGTCATATTTCAAGATTTGGGGTACAAAGTTCCGTCTTTGCCGGACCATTTTGGGCTCTCACATCGATTGTCGACTTGGTTATGCTGGAGGACAATACTTTACGTGTTTGAACGTGAAAAAGGATAGACCAGGTAGATCTACAAGGAACACTGGAAATTAGGTCGAGACTTAGAGGAAAGCAGTTTCAATCACCAAAAGGTAGGAGCAGTACTATGAAGATGCAGATGTTATTTAGTCAAAGAGTAGTAAATCATTGGAATGGGCTACAAAAAAATTAAGTTGCAGGAAGTCCATCTCAAGTAACGTTTAAAAATCGTTTGGACGAGTTCTATCGGTGTAATGACCTCATTGAAACCTAAATTCAGGCAGGTCGGGTGGAAAGATTAGTGTCGAGGGTGTGTGCAGAACCTGAGGTGGACTTACCTCGATGGGCCATTGTAGCTCCTTGTTGGCCTGATGTCTTTATTCATGTCTTTAAGCTTGTTAGTGATTCTTAGACCTACATTTTGAAGTGACACGCTCCGATCCAAAACTTGGGTTGAGGTTCAACTATGCCTCTTGCACATTTTCATGATAAGGAGTATAAAGGATGCATTTTAGTTTCTTACTGGGCTGTGATGTGTTGGACATGCTGCGTTGTGGAAGTGGCCCGTAATGCTGAGTTGATTTACGGGAGTTATGCTTAGCTGAGGGTTGGTTTGTGATCACATGCTACAAACATTTCGAATGGTGTCAGTAACTTTGCACTCCGTCTTTGTAGGCATCAGGTCCTGACATTTAAAGCATCGTTTTGCGCGTCGTCCTGCGCCAGACATGCTGGGAGGAGCTCCCGGATCATACGCGACGGCGGCTTAGTATGAGGTAGGGTGGTGCCACATTGGTGCTACGGCATTGATTCCTACCGAATGCAGTGCTACGACATCGGCTATATGCAACACTACTTGAACTGCAAGGACTCAAGCAGGTTTTACTTATTAACGGCATTACTTCTACTGCAAAGACTTATACAAGACATGAGTGCCTTATCAAATTGTATATTTCAAAAACTTATACACGCCATTACTTCTGCCGCAAAAACTGATGGTCTTTACCCATACGCAGCATTGCTTCTACTGCAAAGACACACAAGACATGAATGCTACACGACAAAGCTTATCTTCCAAAGGCTCGTCATCGCTTATATAGCAAAGACTTAAACGATCTTCACTTAGAGGCGACATTACTTCCGCTGCAAAAACTCATACACACGACACGACAAATCGACAGCTCGAAGGGTTAATATCATGCCGTCATCTCTCGGATTTTGATAAAAATGGGTCGTAGGGGCTGCCAACGGGCTCCAGAATATGTGATCTTTTCGGGCCTCTCAGCTGAGGACTTTTGAAGTTGCAGCCTCTGGTATTTCCGTGTTGTGAGGTCGAAGGGCTAAGTTCGGTGGCGATTTTTTCCCTACGATGAAAGAAACCCGTAAATAATGTATGTCAAAATTATGCAAAATCCTTGCAGACTGCGTGTGGGTCGTGGTTGGAATGATCATTGCACAAGAAATATTGGTGGTGGCATTGTGAACGTTTGCAATCCATGCAGAACCACTTTTCTACACGAATTTGAACCTCTTATATTTGCATGTGGAAAAGCGTACTTTGAACGCCATAATCCAAAAATAAAAAAGGATTATCGGCTTGGAAAGGTTTAGCAACAATATCACAAAAGGGGACTACGCCTCAATCGCGCCGTCCGCCGTCAGCTACGGGCGCAGTCTCTCCTATGCGTCTATCCGTACAGGTGGCGGAAAATGAGCGCATTGTGCGAAAACACCAAGCTTGACAACGCGATGGCACGCATGTACGTGGAAGTCGACTCAGTGCGCTAGTGAGTCAGCCTACCTCACTCCAACTCATCAAAACTCTTCGAACCATGCGACCGCTACTTCCCTCTCAACGCCTGCATCTAATGCATGGACAATGACAGTGTGAGAACTCACTGGGTTTGCTCAGTGAACCATCATCAAAGGGACACTTTGACAGTCTTCGCCACAGCTACGCCAATGTTTACATGATTGAGTATGTGTTTGTACTGCGCACCTGATACATCTGAAAGTAACACGCTTTTCCATATTTCAAAAGACGCCTTTCACTTCCGGTAAAACGTACTACAGAAATGTATGGACCGCAAAAGTGTCATGTTTCATCGCGCTTGACAGCGCGCAGGAACTTCAACGTGTAATATGTCCAGGTTCTGACCAATGAACCCCGAAAGGATGCGGCGTGCATTGAGGTGTATCCCGATGAAACTGCTGCACTTCGCCTCAGCGCCGAAAGTGCAGCTTTCTGAAAAGTTTAAAATTATGAACGCTTCATTCTCGAGCAGTCGTTTTAAAGGTCACCGAGAGCGTTATCCCGGTGCTGGTCATAAAGTGATGTCCGGTAACTGCGACAAAGGCGTCTGACAGTTAAGTCAAAAACTAATCCGTTGGCAGAGCAAGTTCAGTTCAGTGCAGCGTTCGGTGCTAACCCACTGGCTAAATCTGATTTTATTGACCGAATTCAAAATGTCCTTCGCTCGCGCATTGATAGCGTTTATCATAAACGATCGCACGCCATGCTGAGCGCGGACAGCCCTCACACTCCCGAATCATGCACGATTTCTTATGAACATTCCACGCGGCTGTTACCCACCAGACGCAGCGTTCGCGGCATAACAGCACCATACGTGCATCTCGTTCTTTACGCAAAGTGTTTCTAGCTTCCCTAACTTTTAAGACGCAAGCATTTTGAAAAATTAGGATGTCGTTAACATTACAGAACACACCCCTTGGAAACACAAGGCAAATTAAAGATATTACTTTAATAGTGGTGAGCAGAGTCCAATGAGATTTGACCCACAGGAGTGGCTACATCAAATCAAAATCCTAAGCTTTTCAGAAATATTTCGAGAAAACTCCCATAACCGACTAAATCGAGCCTGTCTCATTTGAATAAGTGAGTACCAAATGGATTGGCACCATGGGGTTGTCTAAGCATGTCACTGCTGCGAAACACTGCCAATAAAACCACGCGCTCCACCTGCATAACAGGCGCTGGCCCAAGGCTCTATCACTGGGCTTTTCTCTGACTGAGTCGCCCTACATTGGCAAGAGACCAAACCATCCCCACAGTACGCCACTACCTCCCCCCCCCGCGCCTCCAATTATCCCGGTCCCGACAGCACACTTGAGGGAGGGAGGGGGGAGCAGCCGGCTGAGGCCAAGCGCTACAGATGATTCGTCGGTGCATGGACCATGTATTTTCAAGCAGAGAACCACCCTTTTTGTTATCACACTTTGAGGAATGACACTATGCTCTTTCATTTGATGAGAAAAATATCAATATCACATCGCAAAATTTTCTTCGTGCCCCTGCAAATGTTCATAATGTCCTGATTATGATTTCTTGTGCAATAACTATTTCAAGAGCAACATAAATCCTTCAGGGCAGTTTTCTTATTCTTTTAACACATAGGTTTACCAAACTATCTGTCAAGCAGGTTGAAAAAATGTCACCGAAGATAGCTCTGCATCCACGCAACTCGACATCGCCGAGGACCATCATTCCAACACGGTGGAAATGAAGTATTTCTCAAATGTCAACAGCAACTTCAGCGTTGATTACAACTCCTAAGACCCATCTGTATCAAAATCCGAGGGATGGGGGTGCGGGGCGCGTGTCGATTTGCCGCAGAATGTCGCATACGATACAAGTACTAAACGACAAAACTTATCCTGCAAAAACATAAACCAGCTATTACTTCTACAGAAGACTTGCCCACAAGTCTTTGCTGCGCCACTTATGTGGCGTTCAAGTCTTCGCAGTAGAATTAATGTCGCGTATAAGCAATGGCTGAATAAGTTTTGGAGTAGAGATAATGAAGGGTACAGGTTTTTCAAGTGAAAGGCTTGTTGTGTAGCACTCATGTCGCTTATAGGTCTTTGCAGTAGAAGCAAAGTGGTGTATAAGTAATCTGTATATGTTTTTGCAGTAGAGGTAATGACAAAAAAAATTTGAAGCAGAAATTGAAGGTCGTTTTTCATTACTGTCACGTAAAGTGTTTGCATTAGAAGTAATGTGCATATAAGTAATGCCTATAGAGTGTTTGCATTATAAGTCATGGCAATTATGAAATTTTGCCGCATAAATTTTGTCGCGTAGCCCGAATGTCGGGTGTAAGAATTGGTAGCAGAAGAAACGTCGCGAAACCCCTTTAGGTAGGAGCTTTTGTTGCAGCACAAATTTCAAACACCGAGCTGGGGTTGCGGATAGTTGAGATCATGACCCTTGCAGGCAACATTAGCACCAAAGAATAAGCCAGCGACGTCACAATGACGTCGGGTTCGGGCACATATTGCACCGCACCGGAGCAGGAGCGAGCGCAGGATACGTCATGGGGACGGCCACAATTCAAAATTTTGCGCGCACAACCAATTTAATGAGGCACATACCTGTGAAATGTCCTGAATAGCGCAAAACAAAAACGCTTCCGATGTATTTTTCCGGTGCATATCTGCACTCTATAGTTGTCGACATGCATGGGCATGTAAATCAACATATAAACAAATGTCATCGAGTGCCCCCTCTCCATTTGAATACGATCTTGCAGGGCAAAATTGGCCCTTGACACTAAGGTTTTCGGTCGATCCAGAATCATTTATCAAAACAGCATACCACCAAAGGTCCTCTCTCATTATCTTTCAAAACCGAGGTCAACAAACTACAGCCCAACTGAAATATGACCCAAACACCGAGGGATGATGAGTATGTTATCGGTAGGCAACGGCGGCACCCAGCGCCGTGCCGTACCCACATGTCCTTCGACTGGTGGCAGACTGTCAGCATCGTACCGTTTGTGAGCGACGCGTCCTCCCCGTCTGCCATGATGCGTGAAGCGTCCTCCCCTTCTGCCTGCGTCGGTCGGATCCGTCCAGGCGCCCACCTCCGCCCAGCGTGCCCGCGCCCCTCTTAGCCGCTGGCGCCGAGAGCCACGCGCTGACGATCGATCTCGGCGCACAGACACAACGTGGGTGCCGATCCCGGTGCGCCTGACGCCTGCGGGCGCCTGGTCACGGGATGTCGGTCCGCCGCGTCGGCGCAGATGCGCTCAGAGACTCGCGTCGAGGAGTCTCGGAGTCGCCACCGGCGCCCTCCGCTGTCTTGGTCACGCTATTTCTCTCTCTCCGACGCGGAGCGCCAGCGAAAAGAAAGCACGAGCTCTGGAAGGCGCGCTGCAGGCCTTTGCGCCGACACCCGATCACCCTACGTACAATCGCGCGGCACTATCGCGACTGCGGATATCTCACTCGGCCCTGCAACAGCACCCCGCCGCTCTCAAGATTGGGACCACTGATCCCACGAACAACCCGGCGGAGGCCTGCTGGAGCAGAGTTGCCAAATTCTGCAATGAAAAACGCCAAGTTCGCATGGAAAGTCGCCAGTTTTATCGCCCAATTGTCGGAAAACTACATATGCCTGTTTCTTCATTCATTTTGGGGGGGAAAATTATGCACTGTACCAGAGCCAATACTAAAAGCGTTGTAAGTATCAACACTGTTTGGCAGTGTGCGCCATTTATGCGGCATAAACATCTACGGCAGAAGTCATTTCAACAGCAGATTGCGGATGATCGGGTCTGGGGACTCTTAAGTGATGCGACCGAGTGCACCGTTCTATGGCATCAGTTTCGAGTCCTTAAAGGGAATTTTCCACACTTTAAGATGTTGAAGCAAGCGTCAGATATAATGAAGTGAGCTAAATCACAACTATTCGTATGCTTCTAAGTAAAAAAGTGTTTTAAACAAAACACGTTCTCGGTTTAGTGAGTATGCTTCTCAATACGTCATCTTGCATTATGTCATTGTAACATCCACGACATTGACTGACAGCTGATCGATGACAGTTATATCTGGAGATCGCGCTCACGAACGCCAGGTATGAACGATTCGACAATTATATTTTCTTGGCATTGATCGCCACATGCCTCATGGAATGGCAGGATTTGAGTGACGTTATCATCACGTCATGAAAACAAGAAACTAGAAACGCGCTGCGTAACTGGAGGGATTTAAGTCTCAAGAAGGGCAGAGCTGTAACCTGCATCGAATTATCTTCAAGGCGGTTGTTTCGGTTCAAAAACTGATATAAATGTGGAACGCTCCCTTTAAGAAAGCCAATGGTATGGCCGTAGCATTACTAAGTGGTCAGGCGGCAGCTGACCGGAGAGGATCATTCTGACACGGGTGGCCTTCCCGTTGCCTAGGAAGTAGAACAACACTAGGAAAGGTTCCACCACGGTCCCGTCTGGCGCAAACATTAAAGGCACAGTTATCCATTTGGCTGCAATTGTACGCCGTGTAATGGGCTCGACATCGGCGACGAGCACTGCTTAGGGCGTGCACACTCCTGAGGCCAAAGCCACCAACGCAAGCCATTCATTTAAGCTAGAAAAGAGAAAAAACACGAGACCACAAACTTTGTTGCATCAACCAGGCAAGTACACAAAGTGACTTGTACGGCCTTCTGAAGAGTTTATGTATTTGCAGTATTATCTATTAGCCGGGATATTTTCAGCCAGGACGTGTTGACGCATTTGACGCATTGATGCAAGGACGCAAGGACCTACTCAGAATAGCTCCCCTGGGTCACCCTTGTGTAAATCCACCAGTGAAGTAGCTGTGCACAAAATGTTCCCCTTGTGTAATCGACTTGGATTTGAGTGGATTTACACATAGCGCACTGTCTGTAAATCCACTTGTGAATGGATCTACACAAACGCAGCCCCATGATCTACACAATCCATAGATCCACACAATACACTCAGATCCGATTGGAGTTACACAGAAGTGCGGTTTTGTATAAATCAACTCAGGCCTGACGAATATTCCCTCGCCAAGTGCGCTCAGAACGCGCCAGTTTGGCGACTTATCGCCAATCTGGCAACTCCGTACGGGGAGCGCCCAACGTGCTGACCTTGGCGCAGTGGCGGCGTCAGACTCACGGAGGTGGGCGGCAAGAGACGCAATAATAAATGTGTAAGAAAAAGGCTTAAGCATCCAGTAGTTCGTTTCCCTCTTTAAGATAGTTACCACAACCTCACCTGTGGTAACCGAGTCTATCGTCTCCACGGGTGGAAGGCGCATGGCGAATCTTGCGGACGAGGCTGTCGTCTCCAATGGATGCGCGCGCATGGTGGCGCCGACAGCTGGTTTCTCTGTCGGCAGGCAGCGCTGTCATCAGTTGATGGGAGCAAGAGCAGAGGCGTTGGCGCGCTGGGGGCGCGGGCGACTCGAGTTCTGAACATTTGAAAACGAACTCGGCATTTGGCTTATCTTAGGTACAATGTATGGAAAGAAACGGCTCAAAATGCCGCCGAGCTCCCCCTCCCCCCCCCACCCCACCCCCACCCAGTTCTGGTCATCCTACCGCGCTTTCAAAGAGAATCCCAAACGCTTCAGAGCGGAGCGCTCAGCGAAGGCGTCACTCAGCCGTCTTCGCTGGTTGAGTGACGCTCACCTGAAACCAATAAATATTAATGCAGGCTAGTTATCCATGGAAGTTATGGATAGGTGCCATCTCCAGAAGGGCGGAAGGAACTCGGGTGCCGTCACGAAAGGTGTGACAGAACGTTTGTCCAATGGCCGCAGGGTTTTTGCGACAAATTACAATATATGGTAGAAGACATAGTCCATGGCCACCATGGAAACAACACTCAAGTGGGTAGCAACACTGCAACATACATATATCCGTGACGTGCTTCAAAACTCGCAATGACATTGTCATCACAGGCATCTGTATTATCAGCGATAGTCGAACCTACTTAATAGCCGCTGCATAAATTCGTCAGGAAAAGGAGCTACACATGCTGAAAACTTGCACTCAAGCACAAAACAAGGTCATTGTTTTTCCAGCAACTGCCCGACCAATCATACAACAAATGTAACTTCCTCAACGTGTGTCACCACACTGAGGATTTGGGCCTTGGGCCGTGTGTATATTGCACTCCCTTACGACCTTTTTAGAGTGGCCCATTCACCGACGTGGGGAGGGGGGCACCGTTCAGCGGATGTGGATCAGAACAGGATGCGTAAATCTGTAATGCACGAACCAGGACAAAATCTTGCCGTCATAAGATATGTATCGCAGTCTTTCCGACCACATAACTGGATAGTGAACGGATAAATTATGGACACAGATAATGAAGAACTCTACGCAGCCCCTAATGGAAAGCATCTGTACGATCCCTCATAGCTTATCTGTCATGTATATGCACATACTATCTCTCTGCGAATAATCCGTCCGTGTTTTGTTTGCAGTTTACATGGCATAACACTCGCCTATCATTTCCAGTCGTAAGCATACTTTTTAATTATGCGACAGGTAATCAAATCTGCAAAACGGAGCGACGCCCAATACATATGCAGGTTGAAACACACAGGAACGCTGAAAGGACCGCGGAACTACCGTCGTCATCAGTTCTGGGAATACACGCCTCAGCTGGAGTTACGTCAATGAACATAACTGCCAGAGCATCCAGAGCAATGGTGTGAGGGATGAATGCAGCGTTCAACCAAGAACTTGAACCTGCTGGTTGTACTTTTTGTACCCACATTAACCGATATCTATGTAAATGATCAGTGGCACAACTTGTTATGAGAGACGAATTTGGAACGGATGATATATTTGCCGTTATTTATATAATATATATATATATATATATATATATATATATATAATCTGATGATATAATTCGCCGCACACATTGCCGTTAAAACATAACTTGGCTCTCTATCTGCTCAACTCGGGATGGATGACAGGTGGGCAAGGTCGGGGTGGATGCCATGTGCGTAAGGTCGATCAAAATGCGTTCTTCATTAACACGTTAATCCAGAGTCCTGGAGTCCCGGCGGGTGTCATGGTCACGGTCACGGCTGCCGACGGAGTGAGCCGATCGCGCCCGGTCACCCGATACCAGCCGGTAAGGTCATGGGGTGCACCGCGCGTGATCCGTCAATGCTGATGCTCTATTTTTGTTGACAATTTACGACCGATCTAGGAGATATCGCATCAATTTTCTTGTTTGGTCTTGATTTTAATAGATTTGTCGTCGATTGCATATCAATTAAAAGAAAATTGAGGATGCCATATTTATCAGAAAATGAGACCTTAAGTCAATCTACATCAATATATGAACCTAGCTAACGTTTAACGTCAAAATGATCCATGTTTTGATAGTATGGGCATAAATAGATGCATGCAGTTCCAACGCATGTTTTCCCTCCATTCATTACACTGCGCAACATGTTTTCGCGAGAGCAAATTGAAAAGTAGGCTTCGTGACGCCATCGCATGTTTTCATCTGTACTTAGTTCCTTGGCGACACCCCGCACGGCTTTAAGATTTGCAGAATCGTCTTTTTGGTCGCATAATTATCGCATAGGCCTTCGATTTTGTTATATTTGACATTCTCAGACGCCAGTTGGGTTCCAAAGGCATCAAAAAATGATCCCTCGGAGCGTCAAAACGGGATCGCGAGCCTGAACAGAAATGGCCCTCTGCACAGAGATCTAATAGTGGCGGAGAGAGGCACACTTCGCCGAAAGTATCCGTTTTCCATGATTTTTCCTCCCTCTGGGCGAATTCCTGGTTACCGCACTAATGAAGCTAGCATAGATAAATTAGAATTAGATAAAGCTAACGATACCGTAGCCATTCCAAAAGAACACTGGTGGTGCCCGACGTGCTAAATAGAATGGTGCATCCCCTTCCTGCTGTATTAAAGCTCTTTCTCCAGAGTTCTCGCTATTTCAAGATCATTGAGTCTGAATGCATAATTTTGGCCACGTTAAGAACGGTGGTAGTATTTGACATGCTGATTATGATAGCTTTTAATGCGCCTGGAAACGAAATGTTCAATGACAACCAGACATCCGAATTTTAGACCTTTGAACTCAGATTCCCCAAAATTATCCAACTTATCAGAATGAAAGTGTTTGGCGGGTTGAATACCTAGTGTATCCCTTTTCATAGTGATGCATATCACCATGAACTCCAGGGGTCAGCGAAGTTCATAGTCAGTGAATGACGATTCCAACGCATTTTCTTGGATTCATTACAATGACAGTGTTGGACGTCGTGACTACAATAGCGCATCCGTTTCCAGCCGCACGAAAAAATTGGACCTCTAGATGTATTTAAAATTTCAAGGTCATTGAGCTTGCATCTGTTCTATCTTCCTCCAAAGTAAGAATTTTAAGTGGGCCATCGCTCCAGCACAGGGACGGCTGTCACCAGCAATCTTGGAAACCCTCTTAACCATGGTGCGTGTCGTTAATCGAC